CCCCAAAACCCCAAAACCCCAGTCATTTCGATGCTGATCATCAAATGAATTATGAAATTAAGATTAATTTATATTTTAGAATGTCTCTCATTCAAAATCATCAATTGGTGTTTAGCATTAAAAATCACTATTTCTTGATTGCAATGAGAATTCACTTATCTTCTTTTGGTGGTTTGTATTTTTACTGATATACTGTTTGCATACTGATCTTCGAGCAGATTAGGTTTATTATTACTGTTAGCTCTAACTCTTTAGACTGCGAGCAGGTGAATTTTTTGAAGAGGAATTTCTGTCAGTGTATTTTAAGTCAAACATACAGAGTCGATCTTCCTTTAGATGTAGGTTAATTTCTTCAATCCTCAATTCAGGAATCTTATCAAACTACTAAGGTTACTTTTGGTTTTGAATCTACAACTATTGCTTCAATATCAGATTGCGCTCTAAAATTAAAGATGAGTTAAAGTAAAAATATTTTACAAAACGGTGTCAAGTTAGATTTATAAACATACTGCTTAGGCATTTTAATTAGTGTCTTCATATGGAATGAAGATTCGTTTTGTGATTCATTATGGTTATTAAAAGAGCTCAATTTTTAAGCGATGATCTCATTATTCATCTTCACTTAATGCTCAGGGGGCTCCTCTTTTGGCTTCTTTGTGAATTCTTAACTCATTTTTCTCTAAATTTGAAATTGGTTACTACTCAGAGGTGCATATGAAGGCAAAGTGTCTTTAAAGTTTTGATGCTTGATTTTCAGTTCTTGAAAGTATTTATTAGCTCCTTCAATCTTCGATTTAATATTCTGTAGATATTTTGATTTAATTGAACTTTTTCTTGTGCCCCTATCAGTTAGAGCTTATCTGTTTGGGCTATCTTTAGAAGGTGATATGTAAGACTTCTATCCCATATTCTTAAGATTTCTAATGGTACCTCTTTACGTCAGGAATCCACTTTTTACTCTTCTTAATGAAATAGTATTATTCACTTATATTGAAGTTCTAGGTCTTTCAAAATCTATCCCTCTTGGTATTTAGTCTCCAGAATTCTACTTTTAAGTTATCATATTAAAGTAGTACCCTTTATTTACTGCAGATTATTCAGATGCTACCTCGTCTATTGATTGAAAATAATGGTCTTTAAAGAAGAGCCAAGAACATTGAATTACTTAACTCGAAGGAAACTTTGAGTAGTCTACTCTTTTCTGAATGTTTTCTACTAGTTCTCTAAAGAAAGTATCCCCTGGATGCAAGCCAACGTTTAGAGTTGACAAAGAATGATAGACATCAAATGTACCTAAGTAAAAGCTTTGAGGAAAACTTTCTGGTGGAGTTTTAATTATTAAGGCTTATTATGCAATCCAAAGTAAATCAGGATTGCTTTTTGAGTTTATATTATCTCGGCATTTGAAAGTCTTAGGAGGAATCTAGTCTATTATTCCTAGTCTAAGGCCCATTTAGAATACGTGTATTGGATCAACACCACTAATTGTTTCTTAGAAATTAAGATTGGCTAATTCTGTGGTCGATGGGTCGCCAAGGATCTCCTTATAATAATTGTAGTAATTCTTCTTTCTATTAAATGTTAGATTGCTTTAAAAACCATCTGTAAACTATTAGTTTTGCTGAGTAGAAGGTCTTGATATTAGATTCCTAATTTTTATTCTATTTACATTCGCTTCCGCAGTTTAAGGTTTCTATTGAACTTCTAATTACCTATTACTCATTGATGATTTCATGTTGATAAGTTTAGCTCTTGCTTAGCCAATATCAGTGCTTGGTCTGGCTGTAGTTCTTTAAGTTAAATACCCACTTTGAGCTCTTATTCTACTAAATTCTTAATTAAAGCCCTAAATCTTTCTTAAATCCTAAGTATTATCAAAGGAGTGTTCAAAGAATTTATGACACTAATCCTTAATAGTCTAAGTATCAAATTGCTAAGCCTAAGAACTATTTCTAAAGGTCAGAGCTGCAGTTGACCTCTTAGTGTCTAATCCACTCTCTCGAGAGAATAGATGTCTAGTGCTTGTGAATTTAATAGAGACTGGAGTCTTTAAGTTTTTGTTTTACATTTGTTACTATATGAATTGATCTTTTATCGCTTACTTCTAATTTTGGTCTTAAATTTCTGATAGAACCTTTTATAGCGTAGGCTATAATATTTGATACTATGAGGAGTGAGTAGAAGATTTCTTAGAGTGTTTTACAGTCACTCTTTTAGCTGGAGAGATCTAGGTTCTTTTAACTATTTCATGTTGTCTAGAGGTCCTCTCTTCTTCTTAGCCTTCCATTGATCCTTCATCAACCTTTTAATTCCTTGGGGTTACTTCATATTTCGGATCTTAGAATGGAGTAACTGAATCTTCTTTCATTGTGCTGATCTAAACCTAATCAGACCTAACTGTTTGAATGTAGTCAATTATGTCATGATTATTTTTCTCTGGTGACTTTGATCTAGATCTTGACTGCTATGTTGTCTTAGTTCTTAGTTACTCAGGGATTTCAGTTTCAGGCATCTATATTATCGACTACTTTCTTGGACTGCTGAGATTATTGCCTCTTATCTTGGAATTGCTTTTTTAATTTGATCGATCTCGGCCTTGAATAGTTTTAGGTGACTGAAGGTCTCTAGTCTTCTTAAGGACAATAATATTCCTGCCTTAATTAGGTTAGTTTGTTTTGGTTTCAATGATAGATTTCCTTTTTTAAAGTAGATTTTTAATATCTATTTTCTGGCTTGATCTCTTATTTCTTAGTCCATTTCTCATGTAAACCATATTTTTAAGATTTATAGTACTCTACTTCCTAAATTATTGATTAGACTATGCATTAGAATTCTCATTGGATGGTGATTTTTCAAATCTTTTCTATAAGTTTTTTATCTTGAAATATTAGTCCAAATTTTAGTAGTCTTCCATATTATCATTGTAGTCATCTTGCGAGGAGTTTGTGCCAGAGTCCTAACTGTTTTCCTAAGATTTTTTTATCTCAGCTACTTTACTTGTAATAAAGTTCATTCTCATTTCCCTTTGTAACTTCTCTCTCTGATTACTATATTTCTCTTAGATTCTCTACTTCTCATCATCTTTGTACTTCTTAGCATCAACTCCTTGAATTTGTTTAAGCACCTTATAATGCACTTCTTTTTAGAGTAAAGATTAGGACTTATTGTAAACTATGTGTACATCACTGGCAAACATCTTGCCCACTGTCTCCAGCTTATTCTTTTGTTTCTAAGTCCTAATCATTTCCAGCTTTTGCAGGGCAAGCTCTTTTTGGATTCTACTATCATTCAAGATGTTCTTTATAATTTGATCTGGACTTAAGCTTTGCTAGGACAAGGCTGGGCTATTATTGCTTTCTCCCTCATTTTGATAGTTTGGTGATAGCTTAGGTCTATTGATCAAGGAATCTAAAGATTATTAATCTATACTGTCTTATTCCTTGATGTTAATAATGTTTTGATTGCTTTCCTTTCTTGAATTAGTAGAGAAATCGATAATCCTTCTTGAATTCTCCCTATCTAATGAATCAATATCTCTAGTATTTGATCTTTTGAACTTTGATTAAGGCTGTAATATATTATTAGATTGATGCTTTATGACTTACCAATTTTACAGTTAAATATTGACTCTTATCTCCTAAAGATCCTCTCTCTAATTTCTTGTCAGAGGATTCCTAGCCATTCAAACCAGATCTGACATCTGATGAATTGAATTTTTCTTTAGAACCAAGCATTCTCCTTCTATTTCTTTCACTTAACCTTTTATTTACACTGTTTGCCGAACTATTATTATTCTGTCTAAATGAACCTTGAGAAGATACATAGTTACTTGGCAGCATTCCTGCAGGCCACTCTGCTCTATCAAAATTCTTTGATTGGTTATCAGGCACATCGACATCAACTACATCAATTGCATTTTAAAACTTATCAAAAGCTTTCTTCAGCTTGATTCCTCCATGAGGTGTATGAGTTTCTGAATTACTTACTCCTTCTTCAATTTTCATGGCTTGCAGATTAAAGCCTTTAACTTTTCCTTGGCTATCCTTGCTATTGGCAGAGTTATGACTTTGGTTTGTATCATTCTTAAATTTCTTCATCAAACTTAGTTATTCACTAATATGATCTGTGTCATAATCACTTGATTTGACGCTAGCTAAACTTTCAGTGTTATCTTCGTTTAATTCCATATTAGAATTTCTAAAGTTCCTTTGAATAAGTAAAACCTTGTCTTTAAGCAGGTCTTTATAAAGCTTAAAAGGACAATAGAATATTAGATCCTTGATCTCTTATGTGTTAAAGTTTCCATTGAGGTAAGTTGTTACAAACTCGGCCACCTCTTCTAACTCTGCTCTGCTCGTTCTTCTGCTTAAAGAACCTCTTCTTTTTAAGATCATCTTACTGACTGCATCATCACTCAATTCTGAGTCTGAAGTATCAAGGATAATATGCATATTGCTTTGCTTGATATTGATATCTTTAATTATAGCTTATTTTTTCAGTCTAGCATTTATGATTTGCTCAGTCATTTTCAATCTTTATTCCACAACTTTCTGTAATATTGTATCGCCTTTTGGCCCTACAAAGAACTGAGAGATTTCTTCTTTCGTCTTAACCTATCCTTCTTGCTTTTTAATGTATCCTGACAACTCAGTCTTAAACTCTTCGATTTTTTTCTTTGCCTCTTCCAAAAACGGATACTACTTAGAGGACTCCGAGCTCTTCAAATTAAGCCACCATACTTTATTAGTTTTATTTTCAGATTTTTTATCCCTTGAGACTCTAAATTACCAAGTTTCATGATAGTAACTATATCTTTGCTGGATTATGATGTTCTCAAGAGCAAATAGCAGGTATATTTCCTTTTCAATTTCAATGCTACATTAACTTGCAATTTCAAACAATTCTATATCACTTACAGTGTCTATTTATGTATAAATTAACAATTGATATCTTACATTGTTCTTATCTTTTGAATATGTCAGCTACTTCATCTTCTTATACTTCAATTTCAGGCTGAGGAGTGTAAACTTTTGGAGCTAAATCTTCCTCGTCAGGTGGGAAGTCCTTGAGCTTTTTTAATTCTTATCTAAGAAGCATGCCTGTCTAGCCATTAGCTGTCATTGATGAATTTGGACTTCTATTGGGGGAATTTTTCTTTGAGTATTTCTTGGGCTTGTATTTTTGATTAAGTTTCTTAAGCTTTCTGTTGTAATCATCCAGAAATTCTTGATATTGCTTCGTAGCTGCTGAGAGATTAGCAGTAAATCTCCTCATTAAACCATCAGTTGAAGCTAATAATTATATTTCTTCAGCTTCTCTTTAATGATTTTTATAGTAATTTCTGAGTTCCTCAATTAAATTGTAAATGTACAGATCTGCTGGATGATTTATCATCTCTACCAATGTTTTTACATTCACATATTTAACATCATTTCTATCTTTATCTATAACTTTTCGCCAATTAGGAGGTAGATCTAGCAAATTTGGCAAATGACCAATCCAAGCTAATTAAGGCTCTTTGCCTATATTAACCCCATAATAAAGAGCATTTTCAATAATATGCTAAACATTTACTTTCTCTTGATACTCAAAATCCTTCAGATCAGATAGGATCTCGAGTGTTAATTGCTTATCATAGAACAGCTTATTTTACCTGTATATATTCTAAAGTTCCTCTACTGTAACTGAAGCTTATTAGCTTTAAATTTATTAATTCTTATTATTTAAATTCTAAAATCTCTTTTTAGATTTTGTATTTATATCTATCAAGGGATATTCTTTGGAACCCTTCTCATTTAGATAAAATTTCTTGTCTCTGATGTCATACATACTCAGAAGAGTATCCTTGAATCAGGTAGATCCACCTATGATCTTTTCTTTGTCACTTAGTCTTGCATTTGTTAGCTTTAATGAGGTGCCAACTAGATTCACATCGTAGGAGTCCTCAATAATTTTATTTTCTTGCCATCTTTTGAGCAAGATTGCTTTTTTCTATTCAGCACTTATAATCATATCGTTTAGACCCTCCTTTTGATAGACATTTCGCAATTTCTTCATCCTTTATGACTTAATATAGTCTATTTTAATCTTACTGTAGAAGTCTCATGAAAATTTATCTGTATTAAGGAATCATGGGATGCTTTTCCACCACTTCCTTCGTAAGTATGTTATAATAGAGCTCTTGATTTTAATCATCAGTTTCAAGTTACCAATTAGTAGGTAATTCAGCAATTAGAATTTATTTTAAGTACCAAATGAAGCTATTTTTATCTGTTTCAAGATCAAAGCCAATGTCCATCATCATTTCTTGAACATACTTTTATTTATTTATATAAAGATCTAAAAATAGCTTACATGAAAGGAAAACTTATGAGTAAATTTAGTAGTCTTGATAACTATTGGATCATTCCTTTATTGAATTTACACCAGCAGGTCTAGATCCTGAGTGACTTCAATATTTTTCATATTTATTTGATTTAATTCTTTGATCGAAATTTCAATTCAATTTCACAGATTCCCTCAAGTGGGGTTTTGGGGTTTTGGGG